ACGAGACACACATTCTGCATGTAATGCTGTTTGAATAAAAGAAGGGAAACAACGCCTCTATAGCCCCCAAAAATATTAAAGAAGTTTATGGAAATGTTTTGAACGTTCATAAGTGTCAATAATGGTTCAGCAAATTTCGTTCAGGTGACTTTAGCCTCAACAATTCTGATGGCAGGGACCGACATGTTGGAATTGATACTGAAGCTCTGAAGATGCTTGTTGAGTCTAACCCAGGGCAACACACTCGTGAAATGGCCCTGAAATTGCATGAAACAATACGTAAACATGGGAAACTCCTTAAAGAAGGTGTTTGGATGCCTCACGAACTCTCCGATGATCATAGTTTCCAACATGTGAACTTTGTCAGCGGTGATGACAAATGGATTTTCTACGCGAAAATTAAACGCTAAAAACAATGATTCAGTCCTAGACAAAAACCACTTCCTACCCCAATAACTTGGACTCCATACGCAGAAAGTGATGCTATGCATTTGATGGGACATCAAAAGAGTTATTCATTTCTCACTCCTCAATTCACAGCGAACTGTCAATGCAGAGATCTATAGTCAGCAACTGGAACGTTTAAATCAAGCCCTTCATCAGAAACGCTCTTCACTCGTCAATCGGAAAGGCGTTCTTTTTCTCCACGACAATCCACGTCCACATGTGTCACGTTTGACGCAGCACAAGATTATGGAGTTGGGTTGGAAAGTTTTCCCCCGCCAACCATATTCTCTAGATATGACACCATCAGATTGCCATCTTTTTCGTTCGCTGCAACATCATCTTAATGGGAAAACGTATGCAAATATGGAAAGTGTTAAAGAGGACATCGACATGTTTTTTGCTTCAAAGCCAAGTGATTTCTTTAATCAGGGCATTAACAACCTGATTGTAAAGTGGAAAAGCATCATCGACAAGAATGGAGACTATTTCATTTAATAAATGTTTTGATTTGATATATAAGTTGTTTGGGTTTTTTCATTTAATAAATGCGACATTAATTTCTTGACGACCTAATATATATATATATATATATATACACACACACATATTGAACATCTTCTCCATTTTGTCGAATTACAGTTTAAAAGAAAATGAGTACAACAGTACGATAGGAAAACGACATAAGCTAAATTAGTTAGAGGAGCATTTTAACATTTGACAACTTCTAGATGTTAAACTGTATTTTAACGTGATTGTAATTTAATGTTCTCTGACTTTGATGTGCATGATTACGAAAGACTGAAACTAATTATAAAAACGCAGTATTGTCGATTAATCAAACAACATACAATAATAAACAGTTAATAATCAATACATATACTGCATATTTATAGATCTAGTAACAGCTCATTCACGAATGCGATAAGAATTACACTAGAGCTTTCTGCGCATAGTCGTTGTAATTTTGAATTGATAAATTAGAGGGAGGGTAGGTGGTCAATAGCATCCACTAGAACTCGTGGGCTACTCTTGTCTGATTGAATAGTGGGATTTGACCGTCACTCTTATTGCCCATCGATCCTATATTAATTCAGCTCGTAGTTTTGCTAGAACGCGCAAAGAAGATCACCCAGGCATAATGGAGTCTATTAATAGGTTTTCGTTGTCACTGAACCCGAATTTGGCATTGGATTTTGTGTTTCTGCCCCATGTTTGCAACTGTGTTCACACCCGTATTTACAAGCAAGTGAAACCAAACTTGGCATATGTGCTCAGGTACCGCAGGGTATTGGGTTAACTATAGAAATAATTAAGGATAATGGGGGAGCTTCATCGTACACTGGAGTCTTTAATCCCTGTAGCGCCGGTATCTTAACTACTAACCTCAAGGTTCGGAGCGAGTTTTGTGGAAACGGGATGCGAGCCTTAGAAACCTTCGGATCCAGAGACCAAACAGGCTAACCAATAGGTCACGCCTGGCAACAAAGTGTAACATTGTCGCTGAACTACTTTGCATGCCGTGAATATTGTTAATTTTCAATATTATGTGCACCATCGCCCATTCAAGTGTTTTCCAATATCTATTATTTATTAAGAAGAAAAACATAGGCTTATCAATAGAGATTGATTCAAATTAATGTAGGAAAATGAAGCTGTCACACATTACATGAAACATTTATAATATCCAAGTAAAGTTTCATAACCATCATGGAGTAAAAACAATCAGATTTCAAATCTTCTGTGGTAAGAAAGAGCTAATATTCACACAACTCTATGAAAAACTCTTCTTCTGTGGTAAGAAAGAGCTAATATTCACACAACTCTATGAACAAACTCTTCTTCTGTGGTAAGAAAGAGCTAATATTCACACAACTCTATGAACAAACTCTTTCTCAAAATACAGTGTAGGATTTGCTCTCTCGAGAACAAGAAATGGATAAAATTACCATCGTGTGGAGCTCCACCACTGGCTTCAAGTGTTTGTTGTTGTTAACAGAAAACCGTGTGTGAGGGCCCAAAGGAATAACACAATTTGTCAGTTTGTATTTATTACATGTCTTAATCCCTTAAGGGATTCATATACAATTTGGCCACAAGTCAGACTTTTTGAACCTGAAACAATATCACGCGCGTTGTATTGCTCGAAACAGTGGCAAAGGAAAGTTTCTTTATGTGAGAATTCTGTAACATTGATCACATTATTTTCCAGCTACGTGACACAAGCACGTCCTAATGGATGTACTGTCCTTGAATCCCCAGTATCTTACTCATACGCTTAAACATGCTACATATCAGAAAGTAAGTGGACCCTAATTTAATTTCATAGAAATAACTATTTAATTTGTTATTGTCGGAATTTTTGTTCTTACGAATTGCAGAGGAACAGTCTGATTACAAGACTTTTAATGTATCTGAGAATGTTCTAAATGGAATTTTCTACAAGGATTTTAAAAATCACAGCTTCATGTTGTTGACAACTAAAATTGCTTTTTTCCAACATAAAACAATGTAGCTTGTATGTTTACTTTAGTCTATTTATTTATGAAGATCTTCATTTGTTCATTTTAAGACAGGTGGCTCTGGTATCGCTCTGGTTATATGACATTGGGGTTCAATACAGGGATATTAAAAACAACAACAACAACAACAAAAAACAGCTTCAGTATGTTGGATGAATTGATAGAGTTGGTAGATTGGACTTGTTTGTACCTAAAGTATATCAAGCAATCTTAGCGGTTACTGAAATAATTAGCTGCGTGTATGAGAATTCACTTCACAACATTACCTATGTCACTCACCTATCGAGATATCAGACAAAACTGAGCTTTTCCTTCTCCATTTCAAACTGTTGAATAATTGTCGTTTGCTGTAAACATACCTGTTCACAAAAGCAGACAATAACGAACCTATTCAAAAAATATTATACAACAGCGACACCTGCATAAGAAATAGGCAACTAACTGTTAGTAGAATCGTGAACTACGCGAAGATAAGGTGATACAAATCAGCGACTCATAAAATTGGTAACTGCTCTAAAATCAGTTCAGGAACCATGCGACTTCAGCTTTAGACTGATAATGTTTTCGTAGTTTAACGATAAAACTGTTGACATATACATACATATACCTCAAGTTACAAGTTGATTTATACAACCCGCTGGGGTTTCACTAGAGCAAATGTTGACATACCTGCAAAAGGCATTAACATTATTCACTCAATACACGTGACAATTTCCTTTAGACTACTGTTTATTTATTCAAATGGTTTAAAAGACACTGCGAACATGTCCTTGAGCATACCAGTATTCTTTTATCAAGCAAGCGTCTTGTGACAAAACCGGAACAAAGAATTCTGCACTACAGGTGCACGAAATGAATAAAGCCAACAAGTTGTAATTAAATGTACATTACTTCAGTACTGCAGAGTAAAATATATTTTATTCGGGTAAACAAAAAGTTGATTATAATTTTATATCAACAAAAGCTTTTAACAGCCAATTCGTGAGAAAAGATAACTTGTTTTTTTTTACATGTATTGCCCGACTTTTGAAAATTTATTTATTTCGCTATTTCACGTGAGTCTATTGCATTTATACCAATTTTTGATTATAATTAGATGTGAAGAATGCATTAAGAAATTTATACGCGCTTTGATCGCCTTCCAAACAGAGTAACTCTGCCAAGATGAACATCACATTTTTGGAGTAATACCCATCATCAGAAGGTACTAGATGCAAGAGTGAAATGTAAATTCGAGTATATTGGAATGTAAAAAGGGATTGCATGATGTTTTGAGATCAAAACATGCACGTTTATGCATGCAAAAAGTAAAATAGAATAAAAAATCATGCGTTTCGAACTCAGATGTAAGAGGGGCTTCAATAGCTATTGGAATCCTAAAATAAACTGTAGTGATAACATAAATATATGAAATATGTATTAGACCTCCACGTCTCGATGTCTAATCCGAAAGATCTCATCCAACTCTGCTGAGCAGTGCCATCCTGATAACTGTTCACAGCTGTTTACTGCTGATTTTGCTTAGCAAACAGTTGGATTACGAAGCTCTTTATGTCAGAAATTGATGGAAGTGTGTAGTGATGCCTTTTATTGCGTGAGCATCTGATCAATTGAAAGTTTCTGGGACTTATCAACCACACTATGATAAGAAAAATCCCTTTTTATGGGGACCAATATTTTTCACACTGTACTAAATGTCATGTTTTGGACTTTATAAGGACTAATATTTTCCACACTATAATAAATAGGGGTCAAATTTATAGGGTCAAATATTTTTCACATTATATTAAATAATATGTTTTGGACACCTAGCCCATCCAAGTACAAACTCGCCTATATTTTCAAAGCTCAAAATGTCAGTTATGCTTGTCAAGTCAATCTCCCTATTTAATGACACCTAGGAAGCTGTTAGCATGACACTAGCGCGTTAGAAAAAGTGATGACCTCAATCGTAATTTTTGTTTTTTGTGCATAACAGTCCCGTAAATTGGCAACAGTACAACTGATTTTCAACTTAAAAAGTTAGTTTACCCTAGGAATCATACATTATAAAATCGTTATTTTTGAGTAGGGAAAAATATGTAAAACTCAATCAATTACATACCCGTAGTGGGCAGAGAACAGATAGCCATTTGTGTAGATTCCTGCTTAATAACAAACAACAACAATAAAAGCTTTTAGGTTATGCATCGAACAGTCTTTTCTAAGAGCTTCTAAAATGTTTGTTCAGAACACACGCTTTAGTTTGAATATGATGAATTAGTTTTGATATATACGGTAATGCTTGAATGACGATTAATTCACTCAAACAATAATATACATATCAAACATAGAAAACAGCATGATCATTGATGCCCTATTGATTTTCAGATAAGTCATATACGTACAGTGGAACATTAGTACGTACAACTTAGATATCTTGAACACGTGGCTGTTGTCGAAGTTAGAATTCAGTTCTGCTAACTCCTTTACCATTTATTGTAACGAATACTATATATATTTATTACAAATCAAAATTAAAGTTAATGTCCCGGATCGGCTATGTGGAGCCTCTGATATTTCGAAGAAATTCCAAAAGTCCCTGACAATCCCACGTACCGATGTTCGATCGTTGTATACGTGAAAATGTGTTTGTCTTGTACAATAACAAGACATGAATTTTCTCAGTCGTTCATGGTGTGAGCGTTCCATAATGAAAACAACATCCCTTTTCAACGAATTAACAATACACTCAAACAGATTTGAAGTTGGTAATTCAATAACTTGTACAACAACGAGACATGCATTTTCTCAGTCGTTCACTAATGAGACCAACATTCCTTTTTAACGAATTATACAATACACTCAAACAGATTTGAGGTTGGTAATTCAATAACTTGTACAATAAAATGGGTCGAGTTTTTTTCGAACGATGGAAAAGTACATAATTGCGTCTTTGAAGTAAAAAAAAAATGTGTATGTCTGAAAATACGTTCCGCCTTTTTCCACTGCGCATGTGTCTCGACTTCAGCAGTATGATACAGAAAAAGTTTAAACACAATGATTTGATTTGAATTTATCACATATATTCCAGCAGATTCACTAAACTCGAAACGTACTAACGTTTAAACGCTCAAAATATTCCTTATAACACATTGTTTTATAAAATTGTCACACAAGAAAGCAAAGAAAGGAGTGATGAAAAACTCAAATGTCTAGTCTGTAAAACACATTTAAAAAAGAACTGAATATATCTCCGAGTATTTCCCCCATTCTATCTACAAGAAAAAATCACGTTAGGAAAATTTATTATAATGAAAATATATAAAACATATTCAACTGTAAGCACAACAACACTTCTCCGTTATCTATAAGTATAATTGTGTATTTGGGAGAGAATGTAGTAATCGCTTAATAATTTCAAAATTAAGTTAACATTTTCTGAGACGTTTTTTATTATAAGCCATGAATAAAGCTCTTCGAATTTAGCATAAACAGATAGTTACATGTTTAATTCTAACTCAAACTTTTTACCTTTCAGATCGGCAACAGTTTTACTTGTTCTACTCAACAGAAGCGCCATGTTTTCAACGGAACTCATGTTTACACGACATCGTCTGTTGATGACGTTACCACGTAGTTCTTCTACATGACTCTCCAAGTCTCTAGATATCACAATATTTAAATCAGTTTTACTCACTCTCCAAGTCTTTATATATCACACTATTTAAATCTGTTTTACTCACTCTACAAGTCTCTAGATATCACAGTATTTAAATCAGTTTTACCCACTCTTCAAGTCTCTATATATCACAATATTTAAATCTCTTTTACTCACTCTCCAAGTCTCTAGATATCACAATATTTAAATCGATTTTACTCACTCTCCAAGTCTCTAGATATCACAATATTTAAATCGGTTTTACTCACTCTCCAAGTCTCTAGATATCACAGTATTTAAATCGGTTTTACTCACTT